AGGGCCCTTCTTGCTCCAAGCTCACACAGATAGATCTGGGTGGACAAAATAGTTTCATAGTTTGAGATCCAAACTTTTCAGAAAAAGAGGTAAATTCATTGTCCCCTGAAGTCTAGAGTCAGTGGAGTAAAACAGTGAAAAGGGGTTGAGATCTTTAAAAGGAGAATTCTGGTGGCCCTATCGAACAATTTAGTAAAAACTTAATAATTAATAGTTAAAAAATAATGACACTATGGTATTGACCCTTGTTTAGCTTGCTGTGTACTTGTTTTTTATTATGACTCCTAGATCATTTTAAGCCAGACGTGAATAAAACCAGCTTTCCTCATGATTCATTTTTCTTTCTTACAGGGAGAATTTTGAAAGAAAAATGAATACTAACAAAAAATAAGAAACTGAAAAAACATCAACTCAACATGGCCCTAATTTCAAAGTAGCATGACTGAAATTTTTTGCAAGCATTATTTGCAAGTCTTTTCCTTGCAGATTGAAGATATCACTAGGTATCCTTTGTGGAGGTATTTTTGAGGCTGGTAAGTAAGACTGGGCCTAGCACTGATGTCTAAGATAATTAGCTATCTGCACTTCCCCATCCAGAAAAGGAGACTTTACTCCCCACTTTTGTTACTCATTTCCAAAGGCAGGCACATAATTTCTCCAGGAAATTTCCTATTTTTTTACATTGTCACTGTTAGAGTTAAAGTTGAATCCATAGCTCTCAACTGGGGGTGATTTTCCCTTACAGGGGACTTTTGGTGAGGTCTGAACACATTTTTTATTCTCGTAACTGAAGGTCTGTGCTACTGGCATCTACTGGGTAAAGGCTAAGGATGCTGCTTAACATCTTACAAAGCATAGGAAAGCTCCCCATGACAAAGAATATCTGGACCAAAAAGTGTTGATGGTGTGGAAGTTGAGAAACCTTGTGTTAAACTGGTGGTATTAAATCACAGTTTCTAGTATGAACAAGTATCATTTTTTAATGAATGAATTAAACCTTTCACTGAAAGGGATATGTCATGATTAGCACAATCATTTCTCTGATGTTGGACTATTAGGCTGTTTCCAATTTCTCCTTATTACAGATAATCCTGCGGTGGACATCTTCACTCACTTTTTTCAGCTGAATTATTTCCTTAAGATAAATTCCTAGGAGTCAGAAGTGCTGAAAAAATGAGTAGCAATATTTTATCATGCTTCACAAGTTATATTGCCTTCCATTTTGCTTTACAACTGGATGAACCAAATTATAACTCATCAGAAGTATATAAGTGTACCAGTTTTACCAAAACATAGTACTGGGTTTTATCATTTAAAAAAAAAAAAAAAGTGGGAGGTTGGAGTACCTGGCTGGCTCAGTTGGAAGAGCATGTGAATCCTGACTTTGGAGTTGAGTTGGAGCCCCACTTTTGGGGAATAGAGATTACTTAAAAATAAATAAATAAATAAACTTAAAAAAATACTTTGGGACCCCTCGGTGGCTCAGTCTGTTGAGCTTCTGGTTCTTGATTTTGGCTCAGGTTATGCTCTCACATTTGGTGAAATCGAGCCCCCTGTTAGGCTTCGCAGAGCCTGCTTGAGAGTCTCTCTTTGCTCTCTCTCTCAAAATAAATAAATAAACTTTAAAATATTTTTTTTAAAAGTGAGAGGAGGCCTACCTCTCAAATATAAAGTGGTACCTCCGGTTTCCCTCAATCTGCATTTAAGTTGCCACTCAGGATAAATATTTTTCCATACTTGTTTTCTATTGCTATTATTTTTGATATAAATTGTTGATGTCTTTTACTTAGTTTTTTTTAACTGGTTCGCAATATTTTTCTTTTTAAAATTTAATGTAATCTTGGGGCGCGTGGGTGGCTCAGTCGGTTAAGCCTCCGACTTCGGCTCAGGTCATGATCTCACGGCTCTTGGGTTCAAGCCCCGCGTCGGGCTCTGTGCTGACAGCCAGCTCAGAGCCTGGAGCCTGTTTCGGATTCTGTGTCTCCCTCTCTCTGTGACCCTGCCCTGCTCACGCTGTCTCTCTGTGTCAGAAATAAATAAAACATTAAAAAAATTTAATATCATCTTTATCAAGTATAGATTGCAATGCTGTTGGAGTTAACGCATTTTTAAAAAACTTTAAAAAAAGTTTTGCTTTTTCTGTCCCTCCAGCATAGATAATGTTAACGTTTCCTGCTGGAATTTTCATTTACAATTTTAATACTCTTTTTAGGTGCTGGTCACCTCACCCAACCTGCAGCCTCTACACAGAGAGGCCCTGGGGAAGAGGAGAAGCTTCTCTCGCGATTGATGTCAGCCACCGAGGTAAGAGCAGTACTTGGTCGCTGACGGTATGCGGGAACTCATTTCTCTTAATCAAATGAAAGGCCCGAGGAGGAGCCACAAGGCAGAAAGGAAAATATATGTGAAGGAGAATACCAAATTCTGTGAGGAGTTTGAAGGACCTGCATTAAAAAAAAGGGCATCATACCTTTAGGACTTCAGAACTCGCAATGCTCCGTGTGTAGCTATTAATATGCAAAAAATGCCTTCATAAATACTTGATTCTGTTCACAGTGGGGAGGCAGTTCATTTGAAAGAGGAAATGGGAGCTTGGAGTTGAAACATGTCTGCTTGTCTCCTTTTTCTTTTTTCACTGCTCTTTTCATCTGCACATTTCCCCCTTGTAGTTTCTTCCCCCTCTTTCCGCGCGACTTAACCCCCTCCTCCAACTCCCAGGAAGTTGTTGATGTTGTTGCTACTCCAATTTCTATCTGTGGATTTGTCTCGAGGCCCTGATCCTCGGCCGGGTGTGGAAGGGGAGGCTCGGGACCTAGTGGCACAATTTGCCACGCCGCGTGTGGGAGGCCGGAGCCCCAGTCCTTCGCGCTAGATTCCACGGAGCAGACGCACACGCGCCGCCGAGGTTTCAGATCCCGCCGCCAGGGGGCGCCCAGAAGCAGCCTCCCGCGCCCAGGGGCTAAATCCACGAACCCGGTCACCGCTGGCTTTCCCTCTCACTCACGCGTCAGAAACTGTTTTCCACGTCTAGGTCTGTGACTTCTTGTGGAAGCATGGTGATGCCCACATATTCCACCTCTGGGTTTTTTTTTTTTTTCCCTTCTTTCCTCACAGCTAGCGCAATGATAAAAAAAGGTAAAAGTGCTTTATGTGACTGAACTCCTAATAAGGTCAGACCCCAGTGAGGGGAGGGAGAGGGCGAGTCAGTGAGAAATTAATGGAAAGGAAAGAAAAGTAGAAACTGCTGATGCTGATAAAGATCAATTTTGTGTGCTATCCTAGCCTGCTTCAGAGTGGAAAGGCAGCCCTGCAAGGAATCCACTGGATTTGCCAGCGGCCCATCAAGGTACGTAACTGAAATCTGCCGGGCAGAAATTTGTTTCTAAATCCTTTCCAGATGCTTTATAGTAAACATGAAATTAGTCATTTACATGGAGTAGGTTGAGGAAGTAGTTAAAATTGAAGTCAGTGATTAATCTAATAAAGGGGCCATTAGCCTCAAGAAGTAAGGGAGTGGGGGAGGCATGGGAGCCGCCTCCACCTTCCCCAGCCCCACCCCCACCCCACCACATTTTCTCTGTGTTTAGGGGCTGGTGGGGCTCCCTAGGCTTTTCCTTAAATGACTTTCCTCTTGGGGGCTACTTTTAAAGAAAGTTAAGACGACTGTGACTTGAACAAACCAACCGGTTCTGTTGGGAGGAACAGCCCTCCTTTCACAAAGAAGGCACACGAGGTTCTCAGTAAGCTGGTTTGCCAACCTTCACAGGGGAAACCCAGGATTAGGGTTTAAGCCCCTCGTTCTGGTGTTCCTCCTATTTCTGACTGCAAGGCTAATTCAATCGAAGGCTTCATCTGACGTGCCTGAGCCACTCTTTTATTGCTGGTGATATTAGGTCTCCTGAAATACAACCTCGGGAACTGGGTGAATTTGGAATGCGTTCAGGGTAGGTGAAGCATCTTGAAGGCCTTTGGAATTGTGGAATTATCAAAATATAGCAGAGTATATTTTCCTTGGTGACAGACTCTCTTAAAAAAGAAAACCTTCTAGATCCCTTATAAAGGCTGTCTTCAAAGCAGGCATGTGAAAGAAAAAATGCAGACGTTGGTTCAGTGTTTCCTCAGTAGCAGGAAGGGTCAGCTTGGCTGTGTTTTACCTCAGTGGAGGCCTGACCCAGGCCGGCGTTCTAACAGTGAGAGTTCAGGTCCTTCCTCAGAACCCAGCTAGGCACACACATGAAACTAAAACTATTTTTATTATTATTGTTTTTTAATGAATGCGAGGAAGGAGGAGAAAGCCCGGCTGTGGCAGGAAGTTGGAGATAAGGGAGAAATAGAGATCATGCCCCCCCTCTGCCCTCCCAGGCTGTGGCCCAGCAGGGAGAGACCTGAGCGTGCCCTGGAGCTGTGCTGTTTCTGCCTCAGGTTCTCTGAGACCCTGAGTACAGCCTTAGGAATGCCTCCTGAGTTCTCTCTAGAGTGAATTTGAAGACAGTCAGCCTCAAAGCTCCAAACGAAGGAATAAATTGATTAAATACTTGTGCATGTATGTTCTTGAAGCACTGATAGACATTTCTCACCCACTCAGACAAAGCATATTTCTCTTTTTTTCACAGTAGCCTTTCATATTTTTTCTTGATTGCTATTTTTTTCCTCCTCATTAGGAATGAGAATTGGATGGGAGAAAATGGGCCCTTTCGCACAGAGTCTTAGTGGCTATTGCATTTTTGTGTTTCCTTCTTCCCTTTTTCACTTTCTAGAAGTCAGGGAAAGGTCTATTCAACTTATTCAGGCACATGAAGAGCCACACAAAACAGTTCAAGCTGAGTTAAGACATTTCAAGGAACCTCTGTGATTTTATAGTCCATTTGTCTCATTTTATTGATGAGGCAAATGAGTGCCAGAGAGGTGAAGACTCTTACCCGGGGCCACATAGCAAGCTGGGGCAAGAACCCAGTAGTCCAGCCTCCCAGTCTCATGCTCATTCAGAATCAATACTGTACCTGTTTCTCTGGCTTTTGGGTCAAAGATGAGTTTTCATTAAGATTAGTGTGAAGATAGGTTCTGGATTCAGTGTTTGCTATGGTGAAAATCAGAAAAGGATTAAAGTTGTCAGATCTAGGTCTCATTAATTTCTATATATAGTATACACGTATACACCTAGTTCATGTATATAGGATTATAAACACTTACACCTATGGGATTCATATTTACTCACTAAACAACACTTGGACCCACTATAAGCACAATATAAATACCATGTTAAGTATAGTGCTGAGAACTTATACTCAAGTTTCTATTTTTCTTGTTTTGGTTGCTTTTTAAAAGAACAAAAGTAAATTCTTTGTGCTATTAAAATTCAGATACAGCTAAAATTAAAAAGGAAATATTGATGGAAAAAATCTGCTGATACCGTTGAATATAAATTTTGTATGATCATACTTCACTGAAGTAGGAAAATGCTTCTGTAACCTTCCAGATAGAGAGATCAGAGATTTTCCTTTTTCCTCATAATGTGGAGGGGCAACAGAAGCGGAAACATAAAGGGGCACCTGGGTGGCTCATTTGGTTAAGTGTCCAGCTTCGGCTCAGGTCATGATCTCCTGGTTCATGGGTTTGATCCCCGCATCGGGCTCTGTGCTGACAACTCAGAGCCTGGAGCCTGCTTCGGATTCTGTGTCTCCCTCTCTCTCTGCCCCCTTCCCCCACTCGTGCTCTGTCCCTCTCTCTCTATCAAAAATAAGTAAACACTAAAAAAAATTTTTTTTTAAAGAAAAAGAAGTGGAAATATAAAGCAAACAAAGGCAAAGGCCAAACTAGGGCTAGTGGGAATCATGGAGCTTTCCATAAAGCAGGTGCCTCGCAGACGGTGTTAATCTGAGTGGCTTTCCTCCATGGTTGAGTGATCACTGCTTTCCACAGGTGTAAACGCTGAGGCTTGAAACGTAAACTAACTTGCTTAAGGTTGTACCACTAGTGAGCTTTTGAGTAAGGATTTGAGCCCAAGAGTCAAACCCCATGCTACAAAAGGATAGGATTTATTTTGTTTTTCTTTTTATTCCTAAGAAAGTGAATTTAATATTTATAAAGGAATGTTTATTTGAGGAACAGATTTAGCTAAGCACATGGCTCCACTGACAAGGGTTTTAGTCTCTAGTGTGGGTCAAGTGTCCAACAAAAACTTATTTCTATGCTTGTTACTTTTAAGAGCCTGTGGCATCTTTGTCTCTTCGACCTGAAACCTCTACTCATTCCTTGTGGGCCGACCTTTCCTTCTCTGTTGTTTCTCAGCTGTCCTGTTCTTCTGGTTTGAAATGGCTTCGGGACAGATTTAAAACATTTATTTTTTTAAAACAGCTGGGGAAACTGAGGTCCAGAGAGTGGTTTCACGAGATTGGCTGAAGGCTGTTCCTTGAAAGGGTGTAAGACCAGAATCTGAACCCAGATCTCCTGACATAGCATCTAATACTTTTCCCTTCATATCACAGTCCCTCCATTAGCCTCACTTGTGTTTGCCACATAACAGCTGCTTGGCCATGATCCATCCTCTGGACAAATCCAGCCCAGCAGAATTGCGTTGAGATGAGGTTCACTTCACTGTGGCTTGGAAGAAAACTTGGGCCTCCTAGAAATGAAACTTATAAATCCTAATGCATAAAGAAAGTTCTTGCAACACCAGGAGAATGAATCAGTCAGCCAGAGTTCAAGAAATGTAAACACATTTTTAGATAGGAGACTAAAAAAAAAATCACTTAGGACTTCTCCATCTCTTGGGTCAAGACCCTGGTAATTTACTGAGGTCCAAGCTGTCAAGGAGGGGAGACAGCTCAAACTGCATTCCTGGGAGATAAAGCAATGGGGGTGGTAGAGCTTCCTCTCTGAACAATGAGGCAGAATCTACCCCTGTTGTCAAGCTGAAGGAATTGACTGAACCATCAACCAATGCAGGCAACTGGCTGTGAACACAGACCTGACTCTTTCTCATCATTCTGAGCTGGTGTGTGTACATTCATAGACTACAGACTGCACAACTTCCAGGCCTGCCTGAAACTGGGAGCTCAGTCTTTCTGTGATGAATATTTCTGCCACTAAAGAGATAAACAGAAAACACATTCCTTCTCTGGCTGCCCACCATCAGGCCAGAGCAGATTTTCAATGGCTAGCATTAATCTAACCACAGGCTTTTAGCAAGGAGATAGCATTCCCACCAGATAATCAGGCAGTTTTAGAGATGACCCTTGCTAGATGGGGTCTCATCCCAAACTCTTTTGCCTTCTTCAAATCATGGGATTCTTCACCAAACACTCAGAAGCAGGAAGGAACATCTGATTCTAGCATGGAATAGGCTAGATTTCCTTAAAATTTCCTTAAATTTAATTTAAGGCTAAAAATAGCCTTAAAATTTCCTTCTATTTAAACTTATGTTGACAATGTTTAATACTCAAGTTGTCATTGTTCATTGTTTTGATAAAAATGAAATATAATAATCATATTTAGTCTCATTGTTTCAGAATACTTATTTTCCTCAGTATGGGATGCTCTGGTGGGCCTCACCTGGTATCAGAATAGAGACCAAACCAAAAAGTCATTTCATGAGGCAAACCAGGCCACCTGGCTCCTTCGTGGTTGTGCGTCAGGGCTTGGAAAGAACAGGAGAGTCGCAGGCTCCAAGTGGCCAAATATTCTGTGGTTACAAGGGCAGTAGCTTTTGGAGGTGCTGGGAGGAGCCGCTTTAAACATGTAGGGTCTCACGTATAGGAGGAGGAACTTAACGGAGGACTGTGGGGGAGAAGAAGGGGGAAAACGGGGGCAGTGGGAGGGAGGCAAACCATGAGAGACTCTTGAATGTTGAGAACAAACTGAGGACTGATGGGTATGGGGGTGAGGGGAAGGGGGGTGATGGGCATGAAGGAGGGCACTTGTGGGGATGAGCACTGGGTGTTGTATGGAAACCAACATGACAATAAACTATTAAAAAAATAAACACGTAGGGTCTTTTCTCACATATGCCATTTCTAAGGCATGATTACTCTTTGATCCTTGGTATGCTCTCATGACACTTTCTCCATAATATGCAGTGGTTCCTCATTGGAGAGGGAATATATCCACTGCCAAACAGATCTCAGAAAGCACTTTTGCCTTCTCACAGCTTTGCACGTGGGTGGACCTGCTGACTCCAGCCAAAGCCAATGGGAGGAGTCCTAAAAGTCAGCCTTTGTACCTTCATGGTTTTATATTTTTGGTCAGAAATGGAAAATACAAAGGCATATTCCAGATTAATTTAAAAAATCTTCTCAATATAAATTAAACCATAAAAAGAAGGGTAATTTTGGGCCCTTTACATAGCCCCGCTGACCTTTCCTTAAGAATGATATCTAGGGGCGCCTGGGTGGCTTAATCAGTTGAGCGTCCGACTTTTGCTTAGGTCATGATCTTGCGGTTCGTGGGTTCGAGCCCTGCATCGGGCTCTGTGCTGACTGCCAGCTCAGAGCCTGGAGCCTATTTCAGAGTCTGTGTCTCCCTCTCTCTCTGCCCCTCCCCTGCACACGCTGTCTCTCTCTCTCTCTCTCCTAGAAATAAATAAAAAAACATTAAAAAAAGAATGATATCTAAAAATACTTATTTTATATGATATGACTCAAGATGTCTATGACCTATGGAGTGTTGGACATGTTATCATAAATTTTGATGTGCTTGTTTAGTGCAGGAAACCAAGACCCAAGATGGCCTCTTGGTATTGTCATTATCAAATTCTTGGGCTAAGATTTAAGACCTTATTTATGCTACACATTTTTACTTTAAATCTTCTTGGATGAAGAAGAGGGTGAGATGGGCATATCAAACATTTACTCAAGACCTGAGACAATCTTCAAGCTAAAGACATACCCCAAGGAGGTGTATTAAAGGAACCAAATAGACTCATCTAGAAGATATGTCAGTCTGAATGTAAATATGGAAATGCTTAGTAAATGCAAGGGCAATATTTTTCTTCCAAGTTGAAATAACAGTTCTTTTACTTACTTATATCTTCTTGGATCAAGTCTAGCTCAGTCTCAAGGGTTTGGCTTTAGCTTTGGGAGTACCAGCTTCTCTCAAAAGTTCATGAATTATTTTTTATGGAGAGGTCCAAAGGTACATGGCAGTTTACCAATCTCAAAATGGAAGGCAAGCTAGATGATGGAATTTAAATTCAAGTTGTATGGCAACAAAATATCAACTACATGAGAAATCCTACAGTCAAGGTACATCATAGGATTAATAAGAATACCTGTGGTAGAAGACTGCAAGGAAGAAGGGAATTAACAAAAAAGGCTGAAGGTAGAGCTACACACAAAGTGGTCAGTTCAGTTAAGGTGATCTTAATTCTGTAGAAGATATTGTTCTTGGTCACTCACTCTCAAACAAGAATAGACATCTGGTTTCCTAGCCTCTAGGCTTACCCGCTTCAATCCATTTTGTTACATAGCTGGAAGAGTCATTTCTCTAAAATAAAAATCTAGTTATATCAATTCCTGTGTAAATGGGATCTCCCAGTCTTTGGGACAAATTTCTTAGTTGCTGCTATGCCGTTTCATGATCTGGCTTCTGCCTACCCCACTAGCTAACTGCATTTCTCCGCACTCTCTTCCTTACATGTACCCTGGGGACCAGTCGTTATAAGCTGTTTACATTTCTCCCACATCACCATGTTTTCTAACTTTAGTGTGGTCCCTTTCTCTGGAACAGCCTTAACTCTTCTTCTCTTGGCTAGTTCCTATATATATCCTTAGAAGCTCAGCTTAATTGTTCTCTTACTCCAAAAGCCTTCTTTAAGCTGTAGGCTGAGTTAGCCTGCACTCATTCATAGCTCTCACCACACTCTGCTACTATGGACGATACTAAGGCATGGACTTTGTCTCTCAGCTCTATTCTTGTGCCTAACACAGTATATGGCATTAGGAGATGATCAATGAGTGTTTGTTGAATGAATAAATGAATAAGCAATCTTACTTGTAAAACAGATTCACTAATTCTTTCTATTGGACCTGTTCCAATGCTCATGTCTTCATTATTTTTCAAATAAGGAATTGTAAGGAACTAAGACAACAGCAAATGAAAATCCATAGGCCACAGGGAGATATGTGAAAGAAGCAACAGAGAATCTAGGAGAAAAAAAATCCTAAAGAAAAGCTTCATGCTTCTTTATGGCACAAATGTCTGAAGGGTGATGAAACAGGAAAAGAGTATTTATGGATTACTAGTTAAGGAAAGTTATAATTTTTTATCATTCTGACAGAAGAAAAAATATTCTAAACTCTATTATAGATTGAGAAATATAACTGATATGTATACACACACATGCACGCACGCACGCACGCACTAAAATCCACATCAGCCTTAAAATGCATTGTGCTAAACACTGCTTCGTTGCTTGAGCAAGGCCTGGATCCCTTGTGCATATTATACACTAAGTGCAGATTCTGGCTACCTGGGAGGGACACATTCTGCAAATTTCAAGAATCCTTAGTTTTGTGAATACCCCTAGTGTATATCATATCCCCAGTAAAACTAAAATATAATTGAAAAATTAGGGGGAGTTCTTCAAATTCTTTTTTTAAATTTTTTATTTTATTAAAAAAATTTTTTAATGTTTTTATTTATTTCTGAGAGAGAGAGAGAGACAGCGTTAGCAGGGGAGGGTCAGAGAGAGGGAGACACAGAATGTGAAACAGGCTCCAGGCTCTGAGCTAGCTGTCAGCACAGCCTGACGCAGGGCTCGAACCTATGAACTGTGAGATCATGACCTGAGCCGAAGTCGGATGCTTAACTGGCTGAGCCACCCAGGCACCCTGTTCTTTAAGCTCTTAATGAGTTTATAAATAAAGGATTAGAGTAATTTATAAAACTATTTTTTTTGGCAGAGAATCATCAAAGTGTTAAACCACTTTACCTTTGCTTACTTTCATTACCAGCCCCAGAAGCTGGCCTTCTTTGTAGGGCCATTAAAAATATTTATATGAAAAAATCAGTGTTCTTCGTTTTGAAAAATAACTTCACAAGAGTAACCGCAGGTGTTATGATGAACATAGATCACAAAAGTAAGATGTGGGTACTCAGAGGAGGGCAAGGTGCACTCACTAGCTTAGTGATGGTCTCCTGTTTTCCAGCCTCAAATGTCTAGGACTTAACTTCATGCCTCTGTAAGATGACATGTTGTATGTGTTCCTGATTTGTGAAGTCATTTGCAATAGTTAAAACTGACCTTCCAGTCCGCAAATACCCAAGTTCCACCATCTATATAATTTTTTTGGAATCCTATCATTTTTTCCTGAAGATATTCATTAAAACCAAATGACCAAAAAGAAAACAAGAAGTTGTGAAAGATCTATAGGTGATTTCAATGAATAGAAATTTCTTGAATTTCTCTTTGAACCCAATTCCAGGGAGTATCAAGTATTTTCAGAGTAGCGTTACATCCATTTTCTTAAAAGCAAATGAGAAACGTCAAGTACAAAGAGATGCAAGAATTTTTTGTTAAGGTCATTGAGCAAATCAAAGGAACAAATATGTTTCCTATATCTAAGCCATGAAAGAGGTGCTCTATGCTCCCATTGGAATCAGGAGTTTTTATTTAATGGGTACAACATTTCAGTTTTGTAAGAAGAAAAGAGTTGGTTGCACAACAATGTGAATCTACTTAACAATGTGAATGGCACATGTAAGAATGGTTAAAGTGGTAAATTTTATGTTGTATGTATTTTACCTCAATTTTTAAAAATGACAGTAGATAGGAGGAGATGAGGAATTGTACTCCAGGCAGAGGCAACACTATGTTCAAAAGCTTGGAAATAAGAAAGAGATTTGCATTAGCCTAAGGTCTTTTAGTTACTAGGAATAGAGAAGAGAAGAAATAAGTTTTCTTTCCCTTTCATGGATATAAAGCTTGCCATGGGGTAGTTCTGAAATAGTCTAAATTTGTCTTTGACACTCTACTATTACCCTGTCTGTACTTTTCTTTTTGGGCCTTCTCCTCATATAGCTAATGTCCTTCTGTTCATCCGAGCTCTTCAGGATGCCAGTTAGGAATGTTTCCGCCAGTTAGGAATGTTTCCGTTCTTAAAACACTCTTTACCCTCAAATTACTCACCTCTGTTTTTACCCCTGTCAGAATTTTTAGTTCTTCAGAGCAGCTGTTCTCAGCTAGGTTGCAAGAAGACAGCCATTTGATCAAATAAATTTTTACTAAAGTGTGAATGACTATAGCTTCTCAGAAGTATCAACCTTGAAAGAGAATACTTCTGAATTCAAAGTGAAACTAGTAAGATTTTTCATAGTAGAATGAAATGAAATTATAACATTTTTGGCCATATCAGGAAGAATGATTTTGGTCTGGAAAGCCACCTTGTAAATGGCCTATCTTCCTTGAAAATCTGTTTCAAGAGTTTGGTTCTCCTAACCTATTCCTACTTTTTTTCAGCTTCTGTCCTCCCGATGTCTCTGAATGTTGCAAATCATTTTCAGTGTTACCCACAAAAGGGTGTCTGATGCTGGGTAAGGGGGATTGGAGGGAGAAAAGGATGTGTAACAGAAGCCATTTATTTGTAGGGGTTGTTAGGTCAGGAATTTCCTAAACTCTCCACATGGTCAGATGGCAACATGTCTATTTAGATTGATATCTCCACCATCCCTGCATCCTGGTAAAAAATGAAGGGCTCTTGGGTTCCAATCACAGCTTCTCCATTTAGTGTGTGACCTTGGGCAAGTCACTTAACCTCTCTGAGCCACATTGTCCTAGATGAAAAATGAAGATAATGATAGAATTTACCTCCTACCATTGGTGTGAGGATGAAGTGAAATAATGAATGTAAAGCAATTCAGCACAATGTTTAGCATATCAAAGAGAGATAACCATGGTACCTATCATCTCCATCATCATCATCATCCTTCACTAGAGAGTTCCTATTAAGAGCTGCTCTGGCCCCATTCCAACCAATAAGTGAGAATAAACAGAACTGACACTGAGACGTCCTGCCATGGTCAGGATGTCCATCCAAGGAGAATGGCAGGAGGAGTAATGCTCCATGCTCTCAAGTATTCTCTGTTTAGATTTTGAGATTGGCAAGCTTACGATTGTGCCTTTTCTCTTTCTAGTCTTGTGGTGTCTGGCAACACTAGTTCCCCCACCCCCAGCTCTGACTCCAGCACTCCATCTATGGCATTGCTTCCTGTCACTATAGCAGGTCCCTCATTCAAGATTCATTGCTGACTCTCTCCAAATAAGCAGTGAGGAAGACGACACACATTTCTCTATTAATCAAAGACAATTTTTAGGGGAGAGAGAAGGTCTCTACGTAATCATCCTTTACCCCTGGTCTGAAGCAGAAGCAGCAATGGCAGTAGGTGGAGGATGAGCTGCAAAGTCAGCCTACTTTTCTGGTTTTTGCTTCTTTCTGCATGGTGGGAGTGAAGTATGAAAGGAAGCTTGGAAGAAGTAGTACTCGCCTCAATCCTCCATTTAGAAAACATGCTTAAGTAGGGGCCTGGGTGGCTCCATTGTTAAGCATCTTAGGTCATGATGGTCTCATAGTTTGTGAGCATGAGCCCCGTTTCTCTCTCTCCGCCCCTCCTGGGATGCTCTCTCTCTCTCTGTCCCTCATTCACTTGCACCCTCTCTCTTTCTCAAAAAACAAAACAAAACAAAACAAAACATGCCTGAGAGCATTTTTCAAAGAGTTTCTTTATTTGCAGTTGTGTAGGCTGAGCTGTGCTCAACTTGAGAGGCAAGGTCCATCTCATCATAATATGAATTGTGCAGTATATGACCTGCAGAACCCACAGGCCGTCCTTGCAGATTTCCCTTCCTGGGCCAGCCAAGTATAACATGTGGTTCAGCTTCTCTACTCCCCCAAGATTTATATTCAGACCACAGCGCACAGGGCTGCCCATGAGTAACTCATGAAGACACCACATTTTTCAGGCTCTCAAAGAAGTGAATCCTTTTTCCTACTTATTGCTATATTTGGGGAGAAAATGTGTGTTTCTGGAGGTCTCAGTATGAAATAATATATATGCGAGTCAAATGACATAGAGGAGAAGTAGAGGTGACGATTTTTTTTTCAAGTTTGTTTATTTTTGAGAGACAGAGAAGAGAGACAGAGTACAAGCAGAGGAGGAGCAGAGAGTGAGGGAGACACTGAATCTGAAGCAGGCTCCAGGCTCTGAGCTGTCAGCACAGAGCCTGAGGTAGGGTTCGAACTCACGAACCGTGAGATCATGATCTAAACTAAAGTTGGACACTTAACCAAGCTATCCAGGTACCCCTAGAGGTGACCTTTTTTAGAGAAAAAGCTTACCTTTTAGGAGGCATTGAATACCGGACCCCTCCTTTTCATGGCTGGTATTTGAATTGACAGATTCATAGGCTGAAAAATAATAAGGGTTTTACCTATGAGTATGAACAAGTCTTGAAAAAAGCTATTTTTCTTACCTCAAGACAAGGGAAACCCAAGTGGAGGCTTTGATGGTTAAGCCTCATAATAAATTGGTTTAAAAAATCTGTTGGTGCTACCATGGAGAGAAGGTTGATCTGGGATTTAAAAAGTGCTGAAGAAAATAATACTTTTATTGAAGATGTTTAAGAGTGAAATCCTATAGAGACCATGATGCTGAAATTCTGAGAGGAGAACATTTGACAGAGTAAGAGCATGAAACGGTTAATGCTTGACACATGCTGTGAGGAGATGCCCAGATTTGAACAGCAGATGTGCTGTGAGGCCCCAGCGTGTGCAGCATGGGGGGATGACAGACAAGTATGGGGAGCCTCAGCCTGCAGCTGTAGCACAAATACAAGGGTTGAACCAAGGCAGACAGAGGATTCTAGCCCATCTGATTCCAGCCAAGAAGACAGACAGGCTTTTGCATAGCTCTCATGGGATTTTTTGGTTTTTTGTTTTTGTTTTTGTTTTTGTTTTCAATCTCTTAAAGTTACCTTGGGCAAGAATGATTCTCCTGGCTGTCCTTGTTGGTCAAAATGAAAACTCATTAAAACAAAGCTGTTTTAATGGATGAGGAGAAATTGGATGACAGACCAGAGAAGGACAGTTAAGGGATGGTGGTTGTAATAGGCAGCAAAGAGGTCAACTGAGTGGATCTGAAATGGAAGAACAGCTTTTCATGGGAAATTGGGGGTGGGGGGGAGCATGATGGTAGGGTGGGGTATGTGTGTGATATTGAAGAGATAACAATATGGAGGAAAAAGTCAGAAGGAATCATAGAAAATTCGAACTTGAAAATATTTTGAAATCTTCTAACTGGCCCCCTTCGGACTCACTTCCAAATATATTTAGATATGTATATATACATTTATGCTTCTTTTTCTCATTACTGATAATAAATAAAGTATAAACTAGAGAGGTTGCCAAAAAAGAATGTTTGTTTTTATTGATTTGCTAAACTGTGATGGGCTTGGAAAAGCCTGTTCCTTGATGTTTTTCTACCTTTCCGTGCGTGCGTGCGCGCGCGCACACACACACACACACACACACCACACATAACTTAGGCTGAGCAGGGCAACTTGGGATTCTGAGAACCAACACTGGAGAGAGGAAAAGCCATAATTAGTGTTAATTGTTGACCCTACAGTTCAAGAATAGATGCTCTGGAGAATGGGAAATGAGAACAAACATTAATTATTGAGTAGGGACCTTGGAGACAGACACTCTGGATTAAAAGGAGAGAGATAAATTGCATAATGAATGTTAATTTTCCCTCAAAGAATTGAGTGGTCGGTGGTTGGAAAGGAAAAAGAGGCTAAAACAATCAGGAAAGAGAAACCTCACTGTGTGTGGGGGGGTAAGAGGGTACAGGAGGGTTATACACACACTTTCCATCACTGCTTACTGCCTCGCCCTTTGCCTTACTCACAGCTCCCAAGAAATTTGCTCTGAGCGTTTTCCTTAGGACTCTTACTGTATACCACAGTTTTCTGTGAGGAAGCTCAACCACTTCCCCAAGAGCATATAAGCCAGAAAACAGGTACACTGCACACTGAAAAGCTGAGAGATGTATGACACTGAAATTTATTTTGTATGTGTGTTGGAAGGGGAGGGTAACTTAAAATGAGGGAGGTGGCTGGAATTGAATGCCACTCAAGAGAGAGCTGTGGCTCTGCGTGTGCTGCTGTGGGGGTGATGGGCTCCAGGGCCTTAACTGTTGTTGCTTTATCTTAAGTATAATACATCACACACACACACACACACACACACACACACACACACCCTCCAAAAAACCCCTCTTAACTGAAAGTGAAAACAGATAAAAGGTAATTTGAGTAGAAAATTGAGATGAGGATTGTAGCTAGTTTTGAAAAGAGACTCTAGTATCAGGCTTGTCACTGGCTGGTCAGATTCAGAGAGCTGGTGCATGTCCCCACAGCCAGGCAGCGCCCCCTGAGTTTGTGCACTGCCTTCTGTTCAGGCCCTCATCAGCTGTTCCCTGATGGCTCTGCAGTAGCCTGAGTGCTCAGCCTTTTCTCTTGCCTGTTCCTTCATGCTGGCACATGCACCGGGTTACACGATACGCCTCCTCAAACATCTGTGATTCCTTGTTGCCTAAAAAGCAACATTGATAACTTTATTTTGGAACACAGGGTCTTCTCTGGTCTGGCCATGGCCTGACTTTCAGCCTCATCTCCTCCCACAAAGCCCCTTACAATCCATATACATGGGGCGCTTATTGTTTTTCACACGTATTCTACTTTCCTGTCTCTCTTTATCTTTGTTCATGCTGGCCTCTCAACTGGTCATATCTTTCTCTCTTCACTGTTTATCCACTTTTACTAATTTCTCAAAGGTTAGTGCAAGTGGAATTTCTCTGCAAAAATCCTTCCCACTCCCGTAGGTTAGAATCGATCGCTACTTCCTTGAACACCTCCGAATCATGTTGGTTAGGCCTCTGATGCTGCACTCCTGCCATTCTGCCTTGTGGAGGAATTCACTGCTTGTGAGTCTGTCCTCACATGGGCTGTGAGGCCCTGCTGGGCACCAGCCACAAGCACTGGGCCTTGGAAGCAGGAGGAGAGAGCATACGCTCTAGGATAGGGAGGCCTGTGAATGAGTAAACTTGCTGCCTATCAGGTGAAATCAACATGCACAGGGGAGTTAGGCTCCTGTGTTTGTTTCCTCACCTATAATATGTGAATGAAAATACTCACTTCATGGGATTATTGGGCTGATGGAATGAGATGACACCTGTGACATAGTGCCTGAGGATATTTGCGCTCATTATCAACCTCTTTCTCTGTCCCTTGTGTGTGGTAGGCTTTCACATTTTATTATAGGAGTCAAACATGCATGTAATGGATCTTCTTCTCTCTTTTAGGTCCAATAATATTTTATAACAGAATTTTGCTTAATACTTTACTGGATATACTGCAAGTATGTTGCCAAGCGTGAACTAGTATGGCAGAAATTATTTTTTGATGCTAACAGGGAAATACACTTTATCATGTATTTCAGTATCATTCTGAGGACTGGAATTGGAAACACATTTGAGGGTAATCCTTTTTTCTTTTTCGGGGTAGCATGAACTTTTTCAAATTTTTAATTTTTATTTAAATCCAAGTTAGTTAACATATAGTGTAATAATGATTTCAGTAGTAGAACTTAGTGATTCATCACTTACTTATAATGCCCAGTGCTCATCACAACAAGTGTCTTCCTTAATACCCATCACTCATTTAGCCTATCCCCCCCCCACCTCCACTTCAGCAACCCTCAGTTTGTTCTGTTTGTAAGGGTCTCTTATGGTTTGGGATGGCAGATGTTATTATAGTTGAATTATTTTAGTTAAGGAACATGGTAAACTGCTGTGACAAAAAGACTTTAAAAGATAAACATTTATCTTTCTGATAAGAGTTGAGAGGTAGGTGGGCAGATCAGGATGGCTTTGCTTCATGGAGTTATCTGAGCACTGAGGATTGTTATATCTTATGGCTCCATTATCTCTTAGACTATTGCCCTCTTCTACCTGGTTGAGGCTATTTTACCACCCCCACTGAGTCCAAGGGGAAAGAAGACCTCTTTTGGTAAAGAGGAAGGCAACCAGTGTCCTTTTAAGAAAATAACCTGGAAGTTTCACACATTACTTCCATTCACATTTCATTAGCTATAACTTAGTCATATGGCCATGCTTGGTTACAAGAGAGGCTGGAAAACATAATTTCCAGCCAGCAGCCATATATTCAGCTAAACTTGGATGCTTTTAAATGTTTATTTATTTATTTTGAGAGAAAGAGAGAGAACGAGTGCACATGCACACACATGTGCGAGTGGGGGAGGAGCAGAGAGAGAGGGAGAGAGACGATTCCAAGCAGGCTCTGCACTGTCAGTGCAGATCCCAACGTGGGGCTTGATCTCATGAACTGTAAGATCATGATCTGAGCCACAATGAAGAGTCAGATGGTCAAATGACTGAGCCACTCAGGTGCCCTTGGATGCTTTTAATAAAAAGCATAATGAAAGAATGGATATTGGGGAACAGTTAAAGTCTCTGCCACTCACAGTGTCAACCATTGTTTATGGGCAGTGTTCCAGGAGTGCCTGTGGTATTTTCTGGGATATTCAGAAGTAGATAAAGGAGATTGACCTATAGGAATTTTAAATCTCAGAGAGGAAAGAAGAAAAAAAATAAAAATGATGAAAGGAGGTGATGGAGTACCTAGTGAGAGGCCCAAGCAGTAAGAATGAGTGGAACCTAAGAAGTGAGTAGTCAGCATGATGTCAGGTAAGCCTCCACAAAGAAAGTGGGAATTCAGCTAGTCCTTGAAGCCCGGAGATTTGGATAAGAAGGACTAGAGGCAAGTATGATTTAGTAGGAAGAGCTTTGACCTAAGGGGGTGCAGGAAGATCTGGATTTGAACCTTCGATTTGCCACATAGAAGCCTTAGATTTGCCACATAGAAGCTGTATTTGGGGGAAATCCACATACTCCTCCGGGCCTCAGTGTCCTTATCTATTGAATAAGAGAATTTTCAAACTGTGGTCTCCTATCTCTAGTGGCTCTGTATAGACCCCTACCCAGGAACCATCTCAGCAGGGGAAGAACTAGCTGCGCTTTGGAGAAGTTGGGGGGACATAGACCAACCCCACTTCAACCAGACAGCTCTGCTATTATCCATGTAATCTACTAGTATTCTCAGGAAGTCTATTTGATAAGTGCTTCCTCTCCTTAAACAATGATGAAGGTGATACCTCCATTTTATCTCGACTCTGGGGTTCTCTGAAATGAAACAAATGCAAGGGAGGTATACTTCATAATTTCATGGGCTTTGTAAAAAATGTAAGTACCATCATATGCAAAAAAAGGAATTAAATATTCTTCAATATTTCATATTGATTTGTTTTTCCTTAAAAAAAGAATTCCC